ATGTCTTGTCTGCCAGAAATCCTCTTATTAGAAGACGGAAATAAGAGCATCTTACTTGCTTAGGAAGATATGTTTAATTAATCTTTTCATCCAAAAATAATCTTGTCGCTTTGACTTTACACGCAAATTAAAGTTACGCAAAAATATTTTGACTTTTTATATTTGTCCTTGAGTCATTACAAAAAGTGAAATAAAGCGTAGGATAGTGATGTGGTTTAGAGAAAAAGCATTTGACAAAAAAGAAAATGAAGAGATAATTTATGGATGAATAAATAAGGGAAGTTGGAAGATAAATTATGAACGGAAGGAATAAGAATTAAGACGTGTTTACTTCAATAAGTGCCTCGATGGGTTTCTTCTGACAACAAGAAGTATTGTCATATTATGATAACAATGACTACGGTGTTCCGTTTGAAAAACTAATGGTTTCTACTCTGCCTAACTTCTCCTAAATCCCCATGTACCGTAGTTATTATTGTCATAATATGACAATAATTCTTGTTGTAAAAAAACTCACTGCATTTCAACATGTTTTTTTTCTTAAAATGAAGCAATTGATTTGAGTAATGCTAGAGTCACAAACAAAACATTCACAAAATGCACAAACTTACCATTTTATATTTAAGATTTTATTTTTTAATTACTTGAGGTCATAATTTAAAACTATTACTTTACATATTAGGTAATTAAGTTTGTGACTTTAGTATTACCTATTGATTTTGTTTTGAGGTAAAACAATTCGCCATTAATAAAGACTCATTTGATGGGCTTTGAAGATAAGATAAGATATTAGTTCTGAAATTTAAGAGATAATAAAAAAATTTGAAATTTTAAAGGAAAGTGTTTGGGTGGATTTGATCGAAATGAAATCAATTCTAACATTTTGGTGTTTGGTGAAAAAAATGTAGAACAAATTGCTCGTGATCAGGGTTTTACTATCCAATCCAAAAAAATTGAATTTTTCATCCTGGGATGGCTTTGTCTTGAGCTGAGGATGACGACTGAGGACGGAGGTTGAATTGAAGCTCGAGATTGGGCGGCGGCGGTGACTTGGACGGTAAATTCTAGCTGCATGCGGCAGCAACTCCTAGAATGGCTCAGTTTTGGACCGAGGAAACGGTGGAGGCTGGAGATTTGGATGGAGTGTGAGTGACAACTCCTGACTTCAACTCATTGCATAATAGTTACACATCTGGGGGAGGTGAAAGGGGATCTAGGATGAAGGTGTGGAAGTGCGTTTAGTGGGATTGAAATAGGCGAGTACCATCCGTTGACATTAGATACCAATGTCAACAGAACCTTGTCTTATTAAATAACATAATCCTTAGCTTATGCCATGCTGGTTGTCGCCTCTCGCAATCGCTTCTTCTCCGTCTCGACTCCTCACGATCTTCGACTTCAATATGAACCATATCATCCTCCTCTCTGAACGCGTGACCTCTTGGTGAACAAAGCGTCTATACTGTTGGAGTTCCTACATCGAAAAATATAGATGAATACCACTAGCATATATAGAAGCGTGAAGACCTGCCTATCAGCTTAAGCTTTTGGGTTAGAATAGTGGATTCTGACTTTATATTCGGGTGGTTAATTTTACCTGACACTCTACCCACGTTGTTCTCGCCCGCCGAAAGTTTAACGGGTTAACTATAAGAGATTAAGATGCTAGATCCGTTTGTCTAAGTGCTAACTAAGTCAGGGTAGTTATCACTTAAGGAGGAGTGTTGGAGTTTCTACATCGGAAAGTAAAGATGAATACCACTACCATATATAGAAGCGTGAAACTCTACCTATCAGCTTAAATTTTTGGATTAGAATAGTGGATCTCAACTTTATATAGAAGCGTGAAGCTGTACCTATCAGCATAAGCTTTTGGGTTAAAATAGTGGATCCCGATTTTATATGCAGGTGATTAATTTTACTCAACACTCCACCCGTTGTTCTCGACTCACTAGAATTTTAAGATATTCGAAGTATACTATAACAATGAATCAACTCAACAAAAAATCCAAGCTCATAATTGTAGGATGAGTGGAGATTGTATACTCATATATATGAGCTATACATACACCATGTGGGTAGCTAGACATTTTAAAACCCCGAGGCTTATAATCCCCACATTTTCATGAGCACATGATGGAGCGAGGACATGAAGATCTTAAAGATTCTATCAAAAAGTGGATTGTTTGGTCAACATTTGGTGATCGACCGATTATATAGGAAGACAAGATTGAGACCATACTGCATGCACGATGGTTAGTACTCGGGCATTATTTTGGGTTATGATTGATGAATACCCACACCAGATAGATGTGATTATACTCCGTATTAATTTTACTCATCATCTTTTTTACACTTATTTTAAATTTATTTTACTCTCGCGTCTTTAAAAGATTATCAAAATTTGATTTTTTTAATCAAATTGTTAGACCACGAATTAAATTAGATATAACTTAAAATAATTAAATATTTTAAAAATAAACCCATTTTACTTAATTACTACCTCCGTCCCAATTTATAACGCCTGTTTCGGTTTACAATGTTTGACTGAAATTATTTTCAAACCATTTTATATGACAAATGGTATAGAATTAAAAAATAAAAATTACATATTAAAAAACTACATCAAAAGATCTACAAAACTAGTAGTGACAATAATATTTTATTTTATCAAATTGCTAACGAAAATAGAGAAAGAAAGTGAATGATGTTTGACCCTGTGAATAGTAAACATGCATTATAATTTGGGACGTAGGGAGTAATATTATACGTAAATATACTTTTTTCATAATTTACGATTAAAGAGTGTCACAGTTTGACTAAAAATATCAAAGTGTGACACAGAATGAGAAATATTTTAGAGTGCTAGAGAGCTTCATTGGGTTTCGAAGTAGGTTGATCGTGTCCCCTCCCCTTTCCAATTGCAAATATTCTAGGGGGTGGAGAACGTGATATAATTTAGAATGAGGGATGGATAACTGGATTGTGCAATAATACATTTGAGATGAATCACGTACATTAAAAAATTAAATCCAACCGATTACTTAGTTGAACTCAAGAGCTCATATACTGATTTATTTTCTTTTCAAGTTTCGATATAAGATACTCTTTAACACTCTCCTCAAGTCAACAATCGGTCCATTTTGAATCTAACCGATCGACCAATTGCAAATGGGCTCCTCTCTAGGAAATGAAACGATCGTAAGTGCCAACATCTGAAGGACCACGAATCGATGGCCTCGGCATGGACTTCCAAACGAATAATCTGGTTATATGGGCCACATGTTTTTTTCCATAAGGACAACTGGGCTAAAGATAAATTGGCCGCTAGGAATGAACTTCTAGACGAACCCCTTAACAAATGTGGTGGGCTAAAGCAATAGCAGTAAACGGCCCAATGTCGGTCGACCAATCGATTGTAGAATGTTTTTGAAATCAGGCTTTGATACCATGATAAAATTTAGAATGTGGTAGGAATAACTGGATCGGGTAATAAGATACTTAGACTGAACAAAATTAAAAGATTAATTTAATCAATTATTTAGTTCAACTCAAGAGATTATATACAAATTTATTTTCTCTTCAAGTTCCAATGTTGGGTATTTTTAACAGAACGAGAAGGAGTTGAGGTCGCATTTTGATAAAGAAAACTAAGAACGATACGAGGAATGATGAACCTCTAAAAAATTGGATATATAAATTTAGGACTAAGCTATTTGTACATCAAAATTTGTATTCTATTTTATACTCCAAAGGCACGCACAGATATTTTGTGCTATTGTGATGATTTATATTGACAAAAAATATCAGTGAAATTTTTTTAATTGGACTAACATTTTCTTCCGGTGTAAACTATTAAGTTTCTTTGAAGTATAGTTTGAGATACACTTTTAGTGTACCTCTGACATAGTATAGACCTTGTTGTTTCTCTAATGGGAGGGGAATGATGTGCAAAGTGATGAAATTAGTAGTGATACATGGAAGATTGCTTGAGATGAGTGGGGAAAAGGGGACATTGCAAATTGAGGAACAAATTAGTAACTAAACACTGTTAATTAATACGAAGTAATTAATTTAGTGATCATATGGAGCATAACTTTATAGAGCAAATTTCAATTCTATTCGTGATCTTGAGGAGCCTTATGAGATTGAGTAGGGGTACACCAAAGTATACTTAATTTGTCTCCCACTCATTTCTCCACCATTCAATTTTATTTTATTTTTATTTATTTAATTTTTTTTAATTTCTTGCTTTTTTTTTGTGGTGATGGAGGGGGTGGGGGACAAATGGGGTATATCTTTGGTGTACCCCTAACATTTTTCTATGAGATTAGATTTATATTCTTTTGTCCCAAAATAAAGTTATTATTTTAATTTACGAAATTTATTGAATTTCTTTATTAAAGAAAATTAAAATACAAATAAAATCTAAGAAAAAAACTAGTAAAATTTGCACTAAATAGGACTAAAACATAATGACTTTCCTAATCTAGGACTTAAACTTTTTTATTCCCTAAATAGGACTTATTAATGTCTTGGTGGGAGGAATAATTTCCAGTAATGATGGACATTTACTTGAATAATGACTAATTCATAATGACCAAAAATCCTACATTGGAAAATAAAAACATATGGTCATATATTGAGAAAGTCATTATGTTTTAGTCCTATTTAAGTAAATTAATAAAAAAACTAAGCTAGGACTTTCTTTTATCTATTTATAACCATATTTAAGGCTACGTAATTTTCAAAATATGTACTGTAATAATTTGACTAAAAAAAGTTCAACGTTTAAATAATTAAATTATAAGGGAATTTGGAATTTCTATTTTATTTGGAGTGTAAATATAATTTGTATGTTAAAAAAAGTGTAAAATACAGTCACGTCCGAGTCCCCCCATTGCCATTCTGTCGTTTCCCATGCCCTTTCCCGTCTTTTCCGACCCCTTTCCTTCCCCCAGCTCACCGCCTATATAACACTACCTATACCGATCTGCTCTCTCCGACCACAACTCGATCCCCGGCGACGAGAATATGGGTTTTCCGGTCGGTTACAACGATCTTCTTCTTCCGAAGCTTCTTGTTCACGCGCTCACCATTCTCGGCCTCTTCAGGAGATTCATCTCCGCCGTTTTCGGCTTTCTAGGTTTCTTAAATTCAGAGATGTCCTTCCCGACCCGGGAGGAATCGGGTCCGAAGCCCCACTCCATCTCCGCCGAGCTAATCCGGGAACTGCTGCCGGTGGTGAATTTCTCGGAGCTGGTGGACCCGCCGGAGAGCTGCGCCGTGTGCCTGTACGAATTCGACGGCGGAGACGAAATCCGGCGGCTGACGAATTGCCGCCACGTGTTCCACCGGGGCTGCCTCGACCGCTGGATGGACCACGATCAGAAAACTTGCCCGCTCTGCCGGACGCCGTTCATACCGGGAGATATGCAGGAGAGCTTCAACGAGCGGCTCTGGCTGGCGTCCGGGATCTCCGATTTCTACGGCGATTATCCGCCGGGGAACGCCGGTTTGTAGGGGCCCACGCGTCTTACTTTTTATTTTCGTCCTTATATTTGACTTAAAAATAATGTACAGGGAAAACTATAGTGAGGAAAGGATAAAAGATGTCAATTTTGAGGATATGCTTTTGAAAATTGTAATACTCGCATTTTTACCTAGACTAATGCACTTGTACCCTTACATTGTTTCAAATAGAAAAATGCATCTCTATGTATTTTAAATTAAGAAAAATTACTCCCTCTATATTTATAAAATACTACGGAGTACTTTCGTATCAAAGTATTTATATAATTTTGATTTTTTGCGATTAAAATTGACAATATTTGACTATAAATCAAATAAGCTTATTAGGCTTAGGGGCTGTTTGTTTCAGCCTCTTAATGGTTCAGATGTCTGAATGATTCAGCACTTAATGGTTCAGACTGTTTGTTTCAGCTTCTTAATGGTTCAGATGTCTGAATGGTTAAGAGATTTGTCTCTGAATGGTTAAGTATTATACAGAGTCTGAATGGTTAAGAGCTCTTATCTGAATTGATCAGACATTTGCCCCTGAATAGTTAAACAATATACTAGCTCTTAATGGTTCAGACCTCTTACTGGTTCAGCACTTAATGGTTCAGACCTCTTACTGGTTCAGCACTTACCCATTCAGAAGTTGCCAAACAGCCCCTTACTATTACGTACAATTTTTTTTGAATGCAGGCTTACTACATTTATTTTAAACCATTATGTTTGTGTCCTCTTTGTTTTTACATAGCATAGTTATATCAGATTTTTATTTTACAAAATTTTAAAATATCATTTTTATCTAATTAATATATACGATATTATTTTTATTTAATTATAAATCAAATATTAATTTTAGTTGAATACAAAATGTCAAAATTAAACAAACACTCTGGGACAAGAATATAATATTCATTTACACAATTGCATTTGATTTTTACTTTCACTTGTGAATACTTTGACGGCAAATTGTATTATCTCTCAAAAATGATTTCATTCGAATATTTTGTAAAAAAGTTTCAAATTGAACAAACACACTAAGACTTTGTTTTCTTCATCTGATATGATTAAATCTAATTTGATTTTATTTAAATCTGATATGATATGATTATAGTTATATTTAAAATTGTTTCTGATTTTATTTATGTTTGATACGATCTGATTATAGTTATATCGTCTGATCATATTTTAATAAGAATTACTTCGTATAATTTTAGGCAATTTCGCTCACAAAAATTGATTGTATGTTTACTTTAGATTTTGTAGAATGTGTAAATATATATAATCATTTTATAGGAAAATTATATGGTCGACTTAAGGTCCACCATGGACCTAGGCTACATATGAGCAAAATAATCATTTTCTTACTACTTAAATAGGTATCGATTTTTTAATACAAAATTTTAAAAAAAAATATGTGAGAAGGATTCCATTTATAAACTAAGTTTATTAATTTGTACAGAGTAACATTTAATAAAATAATTAAGGAGTTAAATTCAATAGAAGTTTATGCCAGTTTCAAATAAACATCATTATGGTATATCAAAAAATTACAAAATAAAATGTGTAGTCCAATAATTAAACTAAGGTTTTAATATTTTATATTGACTATATGATCATAATTTGATTTTTTTAATATATACATTTTGACATGTTTTTCATTTTTATTCTCATTGATAATACTTGATGATGATGATGATGATGATAACAATATCAATACAATAATAATAATATTAATAATAATAATAGTAATAATAATAATTTTAATAAGAAAAACATCAAAAATAAGTTTAAATAAATCTTCAAAGTCAATGTTGGAGGAAATTAAAAGATGCTAAAACAATCTGGAAAGTGTATGAAAGAACGAGGTGAAGTTTGAAATAATCGGAAAAAGCTTGAAAGAACTGGAATAAATTGAAGAACTTCGTATTATTGAATGAAGAATAAAAGAAGGCCGCATTAACTAAAGTCAAGTATGTCAGCCCAAAAAGGGAGTATTTACGGTACAACGAGATGTATGCTGTTTTCCGTAAATCCGAACTCACTACTCATTAACGAGTAACTGAATATTCATTATGTATAAGTTACTGGAGTATTATTTTAACTATACATTCATAATATTTTAGTTGAAATGAATATTGTATTACTCGTAAATCTATATTATGTATTAACGTAACTAGTAAGCAAGCATATACTACGTATTTTATAATGTAAATATTCTGAATTTTACTAAAATGAATAAATTTATGAAATGAATATCTATTGCACAAAAATGGTATTCACATAGATAAACGAAAAATATCATACTTCATGTATGATATGTATAGTGAAATTTGTCATAAATAGTACTAGAACATATGTCATTTTCCAATATAGTACTTAATTTTTTTTATTTTCCAAATAGTACTTGAATAATGTCTAGTGACGTGAATAATATCCAATGATGGTTGACATTTAGTTTGAACAATGTTCAATGACATTGGAATTTTACTTGAACAATGACTAGTGGTACTACATTAAAAAATAAAAACATATAATACTACATTGAGAAAGTCACTATGTTTTAGTACTATTTAAATAAATTATCCTGATATATATATATATATATATATATATATATATATATATATATATATATATATATATATATATATATATATATATATATATATAGGTACTCGAAATAACGTCTAGTTGCTTCTTCTCTTCATGATCTATCTGAAATAAGATTTGATTTGATGTAATTATAATTATATTTAAATATATTTCTGATCTAATTATAATAAAAATAAATAATAAGAATAAATTGAAGAGAACGTTTAATTTCTTATAGTGGTAATGAGTTACTAAGTACTACCCCTGTCCCTGAGTATCTGTTTCATATTTACTTTTTTAGTCAACTGTTTTCCAATTTTGACTTATAACTAATTAAAATAAATATTATATATTAATTACATAAAATAATATTTTAAAAATATTTTATATAATAATTATAATAAAACTATTTTTGTATCAATATATAATATTCCGTATCATCTGTATTTAATTTAAAAAAATAAGAAATGACAAATAATCAAGAATGGATAAGGAATCATGTGACTTCTAAAGAGTTCTCACTCCTCACATTTAAGTGGCCGATTTGAATTGCCTTTTATCCAAAAAATACAAGGGATAAAAGTATAAAACTATAAAGAAAAATGGTAGGGGTACATGGTGTATCTCATTTGTCTCCACTCCCTCCTTGTCCACTAAAAAAAAGCAAGAAATTCAAAAAAGTACTCTCTCCGTCCTAAAACTTTCTTCTCATTTCTCTTTTCTCTCCGTCTTAAAACTACCTTCCCATTAGAAAAAAAGATGACAAATGACATTAATACCCTCATGTATTTACACCAATTATCTCCTAACTCTATATTTTGAATGATTGCAAAAAACATTTCAAAAAATCTTTTTTAAGGAGGGTAAAATTTGAAGTCAAAGCCAAAAATTAACAATGGAGAAAAGTCAAACTGAGAAGAAAGTTTTAGTACGGAAGGAGTAAATAAATAAAAATAAAATAAAAATGGGTGTTGGAGAAGGGATGTGTACATTTGGGGTACACCTAGGGGTGGACACGGTACGGTTCCGGGACGGTTCCGGTTCCAGAACCGCCGGTTCCGGTACCGCCACCCCTTGGTACCGGTATCAGTACCGGATCGGCCGGTACCGGTTCCGGTTCCGGCGGTTCTGGTTCGGTTCCGGTACTGTTTCGGCCACCCATAATTTCTTTTTTTTTTTGCTTTTTTATTAAATTTTTAAAGTGTAGAATTTTAAATGTGTAATTGTTAAAAAAAGGATGAAATAAAAAACTCTAAAAATGAAATTGATAAAAAAAAGAATGAAATAAAAAAATAAAAATAAAAAAAAAATTACGGTACCGGAACCGGAACCGGTACCGCCGGTGCCGGTACCGAAAAATGGGCACCGGAACCGGTACCGGAGTGGGCGGTACCGGCACCGGTTCCCGGAACCGGTGGACCGTCCCGGCCAACGGTAACGGTACCGGTACCGGCGGTACCGTTTCCGGTCACGGTACCGTGTCCACCCGTAGGTACACCAAGGTATACCCCTAGCATTGCTCAACTATAAAAGTGAGTTTAGTGCAACCCAAATGAATGATTGAGGACATCTACGGTTCCTAAATTTTCACAAAAGCAAAATTGTCTCACCTTATCTGCCCCCAGTTTGGGTATAAAGAGTGCAACAATTGTGTGGTTCTTCATTCATTCATTCCTCAGTGTCTTTCCAAACCAACCAGAAACCATGTTTGAGGACATGACTGAGAAGACTAAGAAAGTGATGACGAGCAATTTGCTCTGCATTTTGTGTGCTCTTCTTCTTCTTCTTGTGCAGACAAGTTCAAAAGCAGAGCAGATTGGGTCCGGGTACCGGGTGGTCTCGTCGGGCGTCGATCCTTCAGGCCTGTCGCTGACCGCCCGGCTTCGGGTCATCCAGAGCTCGTCTCTTCTTGGACCGGACATTGTCAATCTCAGCCTTTTTGCCAGGTGAAAAAAATTTAACTCCCATTCCCTACAGCCTTAGCTTGGTGTTCCATTTCAGTTGAGCGCTCATTAGCTTGATGTTTGGCACGGAAATTAATAAAAATAAAGTGTGGTTGAAAATGATGCAAAAATTATACTCCCTCCTTCCACAAATAAAGTTCTCATTGCGCGTTACGATGTTTGACTGGAATTTTTTTCAAATCATTTTATATGAAAAATGGTATGGAATTAAAAAATAAAAATTACATATTTTAAAACTACATGAAAAGATCTACAAAACTAGAGGTGACATGACTATATTATTTTATCATATAAGACACCAAAATAGGCCAACAAAGTGAATAAAGTTTGACCCTGTGAATAGTGAACTGGAACTTTATTGTTGGACGGAGGGAGTACTCCGTAAGAGTTTAACATTAATATGATAATTTTTGTTAATTTGTGTATTTTTATTAGTTGTTTAATAAAAGACAGTATTTTTGTTATCAATTATTTTGTAAAAATTTTGCCGTAATTTTTAACACAAAACGTTATTTTTACTTTTTATTCTTATATTAATGTTTGAATAAAATTGTTTTTAGAAATGCGGGTTTTAATCTCGAAGTCTAAAATTGTAATCTTGTTTGGAACAAATTAACTATGATGTGGCAATGATCTTTTGACCTTGGACAAAAGTGACTTTAAATGACTTTGACATTT